AATCCGTATCTTGGGTTTCCATTGCAAATAAGAATTTGACTACCTAACATCCACGGATCAGCTATTTAATACACATTTATAAACTGCAGAGAATTGCCAGATATCATGCAAGGAACTGGAAATATTAAGATACATAAGACCTCAAGTTATGGTCACTTGGGTGGCTCAGTCGATTAAGCGTCTGCCTCCAGCTCGGCACGTGATCTCAGAGTCCTGGGATCAAGCCCTGTGTCGGGCTCTCCGCTCAGTAGTGAGTCTGCTTCTCCCTCTCCCTCCGTGATCTCTCTCACTTTTGCTCTCTCGAATAAATAAATAAAATCTTTAGGGAAAAAAATTTTTTTCTAATAATACAAGAAAACAGAAGCTAATGAAAATTTAAGAGTAAATTATAGAGAAGAAAAAATTAACCGTAATAGGACAACCCCGAGAGAGAAAAAAAGGACATATCAGGACATTAACAGTGGTTATAACAGTGGTTATAAAAGCAAGCTGTCATTTATCTTGGTATATGTAGGTTATAATATATTCTTATACCTAATATATTCTCTGAATATATTATTAACTCTTCCATGTACATTTTTCCAGGCTTTTGGGAGAAACAATTTTAGATTTGTTCTAAACTCGGAAGAGTTGCAAAAAGAGTACAGAGTATTTCATACATTCTTCACCCAGCTTTCTCTAACATTAACATCTTACTTGATCATGCTTTATTTATTCACCTAAAGAGTTAACAATGGCAAAGCACCATTAATTAAACTAAAGACTTTATGCGAATTTCCCAGTTTTTCCACTAATCTCTTTTTCTGTTCCAGGATCTGATCCAAGAGACCATGTTGCATTTAAGATCCTGTATACTTTCCTTACATTAATTAAAATTATATAGTAACTTTTCATATATGCACCTCCTACCTTAAATAAAGCCCTTAACACATCAACTATATTCTGTTACAAGCAGTTTTCTAACTGGTTCCTACACCTTAGTTTTTTTTGCCATCTTTCAAAATATTGCTTTTAAATCTTCACCATCCTGCTCAGAAATCTTCATCTTGTTCCAAGAGAAAACCAAGACAAAGAACATCAGACTGTCCACATCTAACCTTCTCACTCCCTTCCCTAAGGTGAACTGGCCTGGGCACTGCCTTCCACACGCAGGGCGTTGTGCTTTCCACTTCCATATTTTAACTTACATTATTTATATTATCATATTGTTTTTAATATTTTTAATGTTTAAAATATTTATTTATTTTTAAGTAATCTATACCCAGCATGAGGCTTGAACTCAGGACCCTGAGATCAAGAGCCACATTCTTTTCCAACTGAGCCAGCCAGGCAACCCTGTTTTTAATATTGTATTATTTCCCTTGTCCAAGAAGCCATATTTGTCCACCCTCATCTAGCAGAGAGTCCGTCCTACTCCTACTGTCTAGAAAATTCTCCTAGCATCATCTGTTATCATTTCATGTCTCCATTCTAGTCCTCCAACCCAACCATGAAAGAAGCGCTGTCTTGTGTGCAGCTCTGTATCTCTACAGAGATACAGAGATACAACCTATTACACAGTTTAGTTTAATAAATACGTTCTGATTGGGCTGCTAGAAATCTTTAATTCTAATGATTACAAAAATAATGGCAATTTTCTGTTTCTGGCCCAATATGTAAGGAGCTTGGAAGTTACTGCTCCTCTCCTAACAAGAAAAATGCCAAACAAACTGAAAATTAGCCATTCTTCTTAGATCAGTACAAGAATTGCGGTCACAAGGAAAACCACTGCCACAACAACTGGAGGGAGAGAAAATCGGAGTGACAGTGAATCGTAACTGACCAGAGCAGAAACGTCTGCAGGACACGGAGGTAGAACCAGAGTAAGAAAAACCTAAACTATAATTGACAAATTGCTGGAGGATCCATGTGAACGAGTCAGAAAGTGAAAAACAATGGCCCACACTAACTGTGCCCTTACTGTGTTCTGGGAACTGTCTAAGCACGTTACATTTATCAGATTACTTGTGTCTCCCAACAGCTTTAAGAGGAACCCATGTTACAGGTAGAAAAACTGAGGCATAGGGAAGTTCAGTAAGTAATGTCAGAGCCAGGATTTAAATCCAGGTGGACTAGCTCCAGAGCCCACATTGTTAATACCTACACTATATTTGTCTCATACCAGTTACCAGTAGCCTCTTGGGCAAGGTCACATAAGCCAGTCATGTGTCAGGTGAGACTCTGGGAAAACCTAAGACAATAGGACATTTACTCTCTACAAGAAGCACTCATTAACTCTCACCATTAGGGACCACTCTTTCCAATGACCCTAACCCAGTGCTTCTACAACATCTCCCCATCTCACCGCTGCCACAATTAATAAGGTGTATTCTCACTTCATGAAGGCCACCATAAAGTGTCTCTATGTCAAATTTTCTTCTAATTTCATTCTTTAAGGCTCATCATGCTTTGTGCTAAGTACTATATCCCTCCCAGGACAACTAGAGCCTAAAATATTGTCATCAGTGATGAATATGTGTTCTCCAGGTAAGGTGTATTGCTAGTAATTAAACAGTATTAATTCCATCAGCTTTGATTTATTCTGCTCTCTTAGTAATGAAGCTCAGTATTCTATTTTCTCTCTGCCTAGCACTGAGCAATAGAATTGGTGTTTAAGGATTATCATATAAATCTACTTTTTGGTCAGTCAGTGTTGGGGAATTTTTTCAATATATTACAAATGTATTCATTATTCCCTCGTTCATAAAAATAATTAAAAGCTACGGCTGAACACAAATTCCCAGAGCACAAAAGCCTGACTGGCAGGCCACTGCCAAATACCAAGGTTACCAGCTTCTTAGTTTACGGGTTTCTTAAGGAGAACTCGTACCTACTCATTCAATAAAGGGCTTAGGTGGACATTTCCTGCTGGTGTTCACAGGAGTTATAAAACTAAAACCCTACACATCAAAATGAAAATGGGCTTCTGTTATTTTCTGTATGTTCTTAGCAATTCAGAAATAACTTACCCTAAAATAAAAACTACCCCCCTCCAAAATAAAATCCCAGAATTCTTTAGAAGCGATGCCCAGGATGCTAATAACATGTGTTCACATTCTCTTAAAATAAAACTAAATAAAGAAAGAATAAAGCAAGGAAGGAAGGTAGAAGGAAATACAAGTAGATCCAGTCCATCATTGTGATAGCCAAGTTTCTCCTTAGATAAAACAGACATAAAACATGTACTTTACAAGCCTCAGATGACCTTCAAGACATCTGAGTACAGTTATCTATGGATTTTTAAGTATAATTAACGACTTCTGTTTTTCCATTTAAAGAATCGGAGTTCTGTTTCCTTGACAGGCAAAAGCCAATCAATCTTGTTTTCAAATGCTAATACAAGCAATTACAAATAACATTAATTAAAATACTACAGGAGCTGTTAGAGCTTGGGTGGTAGAGCTTTTTTTCTTCACCGAAACTCATGAGGATTCTAATTTGTGGGTCGAATTGAAGAAGAACCCTTGGTTTGATCCATTTCTGGGAGGAAGAGCTGGCCCTTGAAACCCAGCTGAGAGCTGCAGAAATCCCCTGGTCTGTGAGGAATCCCGGGCCTGCAGAAGCCACAATGCTTATCGCACACCTGGTAGACCAAATGTGGCAGATCATTTTATTTACAGTGCGAATATTAATTTTCTGGTTTTGGTAACGAAAATACAGTGCTCATTTGTATTGTTGTAAAACTTGTAAATATGCCCAGTAGGATAAATAATATCCAAACAACATCCTAATTAAAAGGAAAACTCAGTTGTCTTGCAAGATAATGTAAGGAGGGTACATAAATTGTAAGTAAGATACATGGTAAAAATGAAAAAGACAGACTGGATAGGAGAGGAATGAAATAAGATTTGGAAATGTGCTTTTTAAATGAACACAAATTGTGAGATAATGTCTCACTGAACAATAAAAATAACAAAACAGTGGCAAAGATGTAATAGAATTTCCTGTGTACACCATTTTAATCTTAATATAATTTTCCCTAGTGCCTCCACAATTACTGAACTACTACGACCATTTCTTTCTCACTCTGTCCAAAGGTTCTTTGCTGCAAATAATTCCCTGATTATGAACACGAAAATGATCTAGAATTTGACCACAGTGCTTTTTAAAAATGACATAGTGTCTGCTCAGGGCCAAAGGCCTTAGGGAATGGCAAAGTATGGGTAATTTCCTCAGGGAAACAGAATGAGAACACGGAAAAATACTTTCCCACTTCCTCCTGAATAAGGCAACCCCACACTTTTGCTGTTGTTGTTCTTTTGCTCCTGTATTCAAAAGAAGGAGAAAAGATTTCTACACAGATCTGGACCTACAGAGTGTTAGAGCACAGAGCTGATGCCAAAGAAATTCTAGGTTTGGCAAACAAGTACCAACGATATGACCTGAGGAAAATTCACATCAGTTCGTCCTCAGTTTCTCAGTCTGCAAAATGGAGGTGAAAATATTTATCTCTTAGCTTCACACATGATACACAAATGAATGTTGAGTAAATGCTACTCCAATATGGAGGTAAGGGTCCAAATATGATTGTGAAAGGTTTTCTGGTGTAGACACATTACATCCAGAGGAAACCCTACATCTATTACTGACCCCAACTGAGGAAGCTCAATAAAATATTCAACTCCAATCCAACCCCATTTACATCTCAGATATATGCAGACATCTCACACTCATGTAGGTCTTTCAAGCTATGTATATATTTCCTGGGTGTCATCAATGTTGTTATAGATCTTAAACTTTTAAAAAAATACCCAAAAGTAGAGACCATGCCCTACTTATTATTTTGCCTTTCATTTGGTGTCACTCTGGAGTAGGAATTCTGTTTTTGCTAAACATCCACTCAAATACTTTTTCTTTCATTCAGAGTCTAATTTGTTTTATTAATATATTATTTTTCAAAAATAATTTATCAGGCAAGAGAAAGATATACTTGCTCATGCATAGAGAAAATATGTGCCAAATACATCAACAAATCCATTTTATTAAACGTGCCATCAATTAATCCCTTTGTTGAATAGAATGCATAACTATATAATGTGATTAACTTTTAATTTTGATTTTTTATACTAGATTAAACAGTAGAAGAATTTTGGGCCACATGAAAATGGATCTACAAAACAAACAAAGCTGACATAACCAGAAAAGCTAGGCTCATAAGCAAGTATTCTTATAATATGTGATCTTGCTATTAGAGCTGCAAATCATGAGCACACTATATTTATGAATTTTGCATTATTTTTTTCTAGAAAAATTCTAAGGATTTAAATTGAAGTTTTCAAGTCTATCTGATTTCTTAATATAAAAATCAATTTCAGTGGTTTTTTATTCTGTTTTTTTTTTAAAAGCCTCATTGATCCAAATGCAAATAGAGTAAAGGCTATCATTAAATACATCCCCAGGCATTCCGTATTCAGACTTCATAATCAGAGATCAGCTGGTAGGAGATGATTACAAAGGCAATTTGAGATTGTCTAAAAGATCACCAAAGTGGACTTCTTTTCCAAAACCAGAGTCCTCTTCTCCAGGAGATGTGGGTCAGCCATCTTTTATGGATGTTCCTCCAGTCCATTGTTTTGGATGATCTCGGCATACTCCTTGGCGGATGTGTAAGGCGCTCAAGGTCTAGCAGGATCCTCAAAATCAACATGGAAGAGACCAAACCGGCTGCTATACCCGTGGATCCACTCAAAATTATCCAGAAGAGACCATACACAATATATTTTGCAATTGACTTTATCAAGGTGGATAGCCAATTAAAAAAAAAAGAGAGAGAGAGAGAGAGAGAAAAGGAAAGAAAAAAAAGGAGAAAAATTATATCTCTGGGAAGTTTTTTCGTGAACATACAAAATCACTGACAACTAGTGTGGGTATCTTTCTCTTGCAGAGGATCACAGGAAAAAAAAAAAAAAACTCTCAATGCTCTTTTCCAATTTTCTCTTTTAACCAAGTAGGGTTTCCATTCAAGAAGTTAAATTACATATCATTCTAATTATTTGGTTATTCATTCATTTTGATGAATGTTTTATTCATCCATTCATTTACTCAATAAATGTCTTTTTCAATATCTACTACTTTTCATACACAAAGAAACACATACACACACAGAGTTTCTCCCTATTACCTAGAATTATATTCATTAAAGACACTGCTTGGCTCTCACTCTCCACAGATGACGTGATATGCTGTGTGGAAAACACAAAAGGCTCCACCCAAAATTTGTCGGATCTCATACAAGAATTCAGCAATGTGACAGGGTATAAAATCAAAGCACAGAAATCAGTTGCATTACATACACTAACAATGAAACAGAAGAAAGAAAAACTAAGGTATCTATCCCTTTTACAATTGCAGCAAAAACCATGAGATACCTAGGAATAAACCTCACCAAAGAGGAAAAGGATTTGTACTCTGAAAATTATAGAACACTCATAAAAAAAATTGAGGAAGACACAAAGAGATAGAAAAACACTCCACATTCATGGATTGGGAAAACAAATATTGTGAAAATGTTATGTTACCTAGAGCAATCTATATATTCAAAGCAATCCCTCTCAAAATACCATCAACTTTTTTCACAGATCTAGAACAATTAATCCTAAAATTTGTATGAAAAGATCCCAAATAGCCAGAGGAATGTTGAAAAAGAAAACCAAAGTTGGTGGCATCACAGTTCTGGACTTCAAGCTATATTACAAAGCTGTAATCATCAAGACAGTATGGTACCAGAACAAAAACAGACACATAGATCAATGGAACAGACTAGAGAATCTAGAAATGGATACTCAACTCTATAGTCAACTAATCTTTGACAACACAGGAAAGAATATCCAATGGGAAAAAAACAGCCTCTTTAACAAATGGTGTTGGGAAAATTGGACAACCACATGCAGAAGAATGAAACTGGACCATTTTTTGAACCATACAAAAAAAGACGCTCAAAATAGATGAAAGACCTAAATGTGAGACAGGAATCCATCAAAATCCTAGGGAAGAACATAGACAGCAGCCTCTGTGACCTCAGCTGCAGCACCTTATTGCTAAACAGGTCTCCAAAGGCAAGGGAGACAAAAGCAATAATGAAGTTTTGGGACTTAATCTAGATAAAAAGCTTTTGCACATCAAAGGAAATAGGCCACAAAACCAAAAGACAACCTACAGAAATGGAGAAGTTATTTGTAAATGTCTTATCAGGCTAGTATCCAAGATCTACAAAGAACTTATCAAACTCCACACCCAAAAAACAAATAATCCAGTCAAGAAATGGGCAGAAAACATGAACAGGTATTTCTCCAAAGAAGTCATACAAATGGCCAACAGAAGCATATAAAAATGCTCAACATCACTAGGAATCAGGGAAATACAAATCAAAACTACAAAACTACCACACTACACCAGTCAAAATGGCTAAAATTAACAAGAGAGGAAACAACAAATGCTGACCAAGATGCAGAGAAAGGGGAACCCTCTTACACTGCTGGTGGGAATGCAAGCTTGTTCAGCCACTCTGGAAAACAGTATGGAGGTTCCTTGAAAAGTGAAAAACAGACTTTCCCCATGACCTGGCAATTGCACTACTGGGTATTTACCCCGAAGATACAGATGTAGTGAAAAGAAGGGACACATGTACCCCAATATTCATAGCTGCAATGTCCACAATAGTCTAACTATGGAAAGAGCCCAGATGTCCACCAACAGATGAATGGATTTAAAAAAATGGTGTATACACATACACACACACACACACACACAATGGAATATTACACAGCCACCAAAAAAATTCAATTTTAACCATTTAATGACATGGATGGATTACGCTAAGTGAAATAAATCAATGAGGGAAAGACAATTACATGATATCACTCATATGTGGAATTTAAGAAACAAAACAGAAGATCATAGGGGAAGGGAGGGAAAAATAAAATAAGACAAAAACATAGAAGGAGACAAACCATGAGACTCTTAACTATAGAAAACAAACTGAGGGTTGCTAGAGGGGGAGTGGGTAGGGGCTGGGGTAACTGAGTGATGGGCATCAAGGACAGCACATGATGTAATGAGCACTGGGTATTTATTATATGCTACTGATGAATCACTGAACTGTACCTCTGAAATTAGTAATACACTGTAAGTTAAGTAACTGAATTTAAATAAAATAAAAAATTTAAGTAAATAAATAATAAAATATTCTTTAAAAAAAAAAAAAGGAGAGAAGACACTGCTTAACTTCCGAATGCAACCTCTAGAGAATCCAGAAAGTCCACTAATAAGTTAAAAGAGGTGATAACAATGGGGCTGAGATAGCCCCAGGTATTACCTTGCGTCCCTATGACCAAACTGAGACATGTATTATAATTCTGGAAATAGGACCCTAAAGTGAAAAGGATCGACATACAGCTCTGGTTGTATATATATCTTAGACTGAGTAGGCGCAAAAATGTTATGGCATCCCCTCTGCCCAACATCTAAACTCAGAGTGGTGTTTAAACCCTCTAAGAACCCTCTAAGAGCCAAAGCAATGGGTCACATACACATATGCACATACACAATATTCTATATAATTTCATTTGTGGATATCCTAAATCCCATCCAGGGACTCCTATAGTAATATGTCAAAATGTGGAGAATTTTCTAAGTAGTTTTACACTGATTTCTATCATGGTAGGAAATTTAACTCATTTTTTAGTATTTCAAGCATTTTACTAATATTACTTTTGCATTAATATTTATTAATTAGTATTTTAATTTAATATTTCAAGTTGGGGGGGAAGAAAGAAAAACCTCTGGGGTTGCATGAATTGTTGCATTGAACATTTCTTTTAAAACCAGAATAAGTAAACTCTATATATGGGATGCAATAAAATCTATTTCCCAATACAGAAATTAAATAAAAAGACAAATTTCCTTTATAAGATAGACATATTCCTAAATAAGTTGGGTGAAAATGAGCCTTTATATGATATACTAAATTTTAACAGTATTAGGGTTCACTCTCAACTACAATGACTCCTCTAGCATTAGCAAAGCAAGATCCACTCTACCTTTTTCTTTATACATCTGTACTTTTGGGATCTCTTAGAGGAACTATATCTATAAACCATGACACAAGTGTACATTCTGAATCATTTTGGAAATTTATTTATTTATTTATTTATTTATTTATTTATTTTACTACTGATACTCCATAGACAAAAGTTTCCTGAGCAGTTAATTGATGCCTAATCCCTCTACCTTTGTGCATGGAGGCATGCAAAGTGCTGTACTTAGAGAGTGCGTTATGAATGGCCTCAAGGCAGGAATTCAGCCAAACCAGATTGGCTCTTTTTAAATAAAGTATGATTGGAAAATGAAACACATAACATTCAAGCACATCAAGCTTTGTAGGAATTAAAACATGTATAGATACTCCTTCTTCTACTTGTCCACATTGCCATTTGTGTCTCCTCCCCCCTCTGTCAACCACAGTGGCAAAATACCAATTCTTAAAAATAATTTTATAACTAACTTAAGTTTGACATGGCATGTATCTAAGAATTAAAATAACCAAAACCAAGTACCAGGTCAGAAAACCACTATCTTCTTTGACTGCCTTAGAATTCAGTGTAGAGACATGGGAGAATAGTTCTTTTCCCATTTGCAGAACTACTGCCCAACACAAAAGCCTGCCAGGGAGAAAGCCAGACAGCTTCTGCAAACACACACAGTACCATGGAACACGCACAAAGGATTGATCCATATGCTCAACCAGGGGATAAAAATGATGTGGAGCCTGCTTGCAAGGGAACAAAAGGGAGATGCTGACAAGTTCATTGTTAACTGCCAGGAGTTCAGAGGCAAGTACTAAACTGCCCCAAGTACTAAACTACAAGACACTGTGGGTGTCTCTGCGTTTTCATTGCAGGAACATTCAAAAAGAGAATTACGTGGTTAGGGCTGAGGAGCTGGCCTGCTGGAATCCTTCTTGTTGTGCTACCACAGGGAAAAATGACAAAACCGTGCTAGAGCCTACATGCCTCTCCTCTTCCGATCTCCTCAAGACCAGAAAGAGACCATCATCACATTTCTTGTCAATGTGATTTACAAGGTCCCACATCTGAGAAGGGAAAAATCACTTCTGCATGTTCACTTTCTTTCTTGAACCAGAGTTGCAGGCAAAGTATACACAGACTGGCAGGGACTATGGGTGGGTACAAAACACACTGGGATAAAAATTACAAACATACAGAGCCAGCATTTGGTTTGGGACACAAAGTCCAGTGGAAAAAGCCTCACAGTCAGCATGTTGCATAAAAGATGCAAGGCAAAAATGTCTAAGACTTGCTAATATATTAAAGTCTGTTCTAATTAGAAGAACCCTGTGCCAGAGTTGTTCTACACACACGCACACGCGTGCACACACACACACACACACACACTGCCCAGTTTTAGCCAAACTGAGAAGGTTGAGGAAATAGCCTTTCATCAGACCACCCTCATTTCTGGCAAAACTACAAGGTCATGGGGGTCCCCAAACCGTCTTCAGTTTCAATAATTCGCTAGAACTCGCAGACCTCTCTGAAACCCACTATACTCACAGTTGTGGCTTATTATGGTGAGGGTTACAAGTTAACATCAGCCAAAGGAAGAGATGCTAGGTCAGAGATAGTGGGGGGGTTGGGAGGGGCACTCCACACATGAAGCTTCCATCATCCCCTCGCAGAGGAGTCCTGGGATGGACATGTGACAATATGCACAGAGCACTCCAAGCAGAGA